GCCCACAGAGTGTGTCGTCACTTTAAGCTCAGCGTCTCTACCACGCCCAGAACGCTTCACTGGACAGAAGCCCTCGTCGATTCTAGGAAATGTAAGACCACAGGCAGTATGCCAAAATCGATTCTTCTCGCCCGCTCTCGTGGTGCGCGTTTCTCAAGCCTCATGCGCGCCCACGCCGGATGTACACATACCCGGAAAGGGGGCCATTTTGCGGGCCAAAAGTGCGAGACGGGTTGAGTCCATTGGGGGATAAGCCCCTGTCTCCTCCCCTCTTTTGCCCAGTCGTGGGGGGTGCGGGGGGAGGGGAAATAGGGGGATGATATGGGGATGGAAGTTTGGTTTGCAGGTAGTATGGCGAGGAGGGGGTGTGTTGATGTGACTTACTATGTGTTGGGATGACTTGTGTGGCATCTATGGTTCTCCTCTCGTCATGTTCGCCCGGCGGGTGGTGTGGCGGTGTGGCGGTGTGGCGGTGTGCTGGCTCGGGCACAACGGCGCGCTTTGTTTAATATATGCGGAATCGACTTTGTCGGCGAATCGATCGGAAACGACTGCGGCGGATGGTGGCGGTGGCGGTGGTGGTGGTGGCGGCGATGATGGCGCTGGCAATTGCCGGCTTCCGTCATCTGTGGCGTGTCTTGGGACTCTTTGTCGATGACCCACAGACATCACAATGCCGAGGAGGAAGCGCCGCGGAAGGCCATCAAGACCAAGAAGGCCAACAAGGAGGATGATGTTGCCGATGCGCCCGACGGCCAGGTTAGCAAGGCCGAGATCAAGCGGGCGCTCAACGACGAGGAGGCCGGCGCGTCGTCCAAGGTGACGGAGCGGACGGTGACAGCGACGCTCCCGCCCGGGCATCTCTCGCACTCGCGCGACATCTACCTGGTCAACTTTTCGCTCAACTTTTACGGCACCGTCCTCATTCATGACACCGAGCTCAAGCTCTCGTACGGCAACCGTTATGGGCTCATCGGCCACAACGGGTGCGGCAAGTCGACGTTCCTCACTGCGCTCGGCAAGCGCGAGGTGCCGATCCAGGACCACATCGACATCTTCTACCTCGACCGCGAGGTCGAGGCGCTCGACATCAACGCCATGGACTTTATCATCTCGGACATCGAGGCCAAGGTGGCCAAGCTCGAAAAGTACGCCGAGGTCGTCATGGACTCGCTTGGGCCCGACGCCATGGAGCTCGACGAGATCTACGAGCGCATCGACGCCATGGACATTGCCACGGCGCCGCGCCGTGCCGGTGAGATCCTCCACGGACTCGGCTTCACCAAGGAGATGATGGCCCAGCCGACCCGTGACTTTTCTGGAGGCTGGCGCATGCGGATCTCGCTCGCCAAGGCACTCTTCCTCGAGCCGGCCCTGCTCCTGCTCGACGACCCGACGTCGCACCTTGACCTTGAGGCTACCCTCTGGCTCGAGTCGTACCTCGCCAAGTACCCGGCGTGCCTCGTCCTCGTCTCGCACTCGGAGGACTTCCTCGACAACGTCTGCACCCACATCATCGACCTGCGCCTGCAGCGCCTCTCGTACTACACCGGTAACTACTCGGCGTACGTCCGGACTCGCTCCGAGAACGAGGAGAACCAGCGGCGCGCGTACGAGAAGCAGCAGAACGAGATTGCCCACATGAAGCAGTACGTCGCACGCTTCGGCCACGGAAACTCCAAGATGGCTCGCCAGGCCCAGTCCAAGGAGAAGCTCATTGCCAAGATGGAGCGCGAGGGCCTTGTCGAGGCCGTCGTCGTCGACCGCAAGCTCAAGCTCTCGTTCCCCAACCCGCCGCCGCTGGCGCCGCCCGTTCTCTCCTTCACCGACGTCACCTTTGGCTACACGCCCGAGAAGCTCCTCTTTGAGCACCTCGAGTTCGGCATCGACCTCGACTCGCGCGTCGTCCTCGTCGGTGCCAACGGTGCCGGCAAGTCGACCTTCCTCAAGCTGCTCAAGGGCGACCTCAACCCGCTCGAGGGCCGCATCCAGGCCCACGCTCACTGCCGCATCGGCTTTTACTCGCAGCATCTTACCGAGAACCTGCCGCTCGACCGCACGCCCGTCGAGTACATGCTCTCCGTCTTCCCAAGTTTGACGGCGGCATCGACGGCATGCGCTCCATCCTCGGCCGGTTCGGCCTCTCGGGCAAGGCCCAGGTCTCGCCCATTCGCCACCTCTCTGGCGGCCAGGTCCGTCGCCTCGGCTTTGCCTACCTCGCCCAGACCTCGCCGTCCATGATTGTCATGGACGAGCCGACCAACGGTCTCTCCATGGACGCCATCGACGCCCTCGCCGACGCCCTCAACGAGTTTGAGGGCGGCGTCGTCGTCGTCTCGCATGACTTCCGCCTGCTCGAGCGCATGGAGCGGGCCGAGATCTTTGTCACCGAGAACAAGTCGCTCAACCGCTGGAACGGCTCCATTATGGAGTACAAGCAGCACCTGCAGGCCATCATTACCGCCCAGCACGAGGCCTACATTTCCGACAACATGTGAGCAGCCAAGTACACACACGAACGCAACACACGCATACGCACACACACACACACATACACACACACTGTGTTTCTTCGTCTCTCCCTCTTGGCATCACGGGCATCGAATGACAATGACAGAGATGTTGTCCGTCGAGCCCGAGTTGTACGCCATGTCGCGGAGGACTGCGGCTGCCCGTGAGAGCGAGCCAGTCTCGCGGAAGACTTGCGTCACAACATGCGCCGCCGTCGCGTCGTCGATCTCGTCCCACACGCCGTCGCACGCCATGATGAGCACATCGCCCGAGCTAAAGGCCACCGGCGCTGCACAGTACGGTGCTGCAATGACATACGGCTTGAGGTGAAAGTCGCCAAATGCCCGCGATACCGCAAGGTTACCGTTCACCCGCCCGTTGAAGGCCACATACGCCCGCGCCCGGCGAATCCGCTCCTCCTCCTCAGCCGTCGTGGGCTTGTGGTCCATCGACAGCCGGCGCACCCGCCGCCGCACCCGATTGAGGGCAGACGATGAGTCCGACCGCCGCATCGACGCAATCGACCGCGAAAGCGGCTTGCTGCTCTCGGCCGCCCCGGCCGCCATCTCATCAAACGAGGTTGCGGGGACAAGGACTGCCCGCGAGTCGCCGACGTTGGCTACCGTGAGCTGGCCGCCGACAAAAAACGCAAACAGGCCCGTTGTCCCACCGCGCGAGTCTGACTTGGGCGTTGCGTCCGAGGTAAGAAACGCACACAGCTCCTCCTCGGTCTTTTCGATGGCCGCCACCAGCGCGCTGCAGAGCGCAGCATGACTTGCCTCGCTGTCGTCGCTGGAGAGCTCCGGCAGCTCAAGATTGGTGTGGAGTCGCTCGGCGCAAAATGCTGACGCCGCCGTCCCGGCGTGACCGTCAAAGAGTCCAAAGTAGTCGACTTGGAGCGCGTCGACTCGCGGATGCGGGAGCGCCCAATGCCACGTCAAGGCGTCCTCCATTGTCGGCCGCTTGCCGATCATCTCTGCCACGCCGAGCTCGAACCGAGCACGCTCGGAGCCAGTCACGTACGCCTTGCCGGCCATCAGTGCGTCGTACGGCGAGTCGTACTCGCTGCCCACCGCGGTCCAATCAGCAAAGGCCTCTGACACGCTCCCGGGATTACCCTCGGTACAGCACCAGAGCGCAGACGCGAGCGCCGGTGGCACCTCGCTCAGTTGGTTGTACGAAATGTCTGCCCGCGTCACCCTCCCGCTCAGCGCAGCCTCCATGTCTTCGAGCGAGATGCCGTCGCTGGTCATGGCGTTGCGCCCCAGGTACACGGCCGAGATCCGTGGGAGCTCGAGGAGGAACAAAGGGAACGCCGAGATGGCGTTCCCTGTTGCTACAAGCTCCTCAAGCTCAGAGAACTGGGAGAGGTCTGGCAGCTCGGTCAACTGGTTGTTGCCGACGCTGAGGACGACGAGGCCCGAGGCCAGCATGCTGATTTCATCCGGCAGGCGCGCTATGCGATTGCCAAACACGTTGAGCTCAGCGAGGTAGCAGAGCCCGCCGACCGAGGACGGGAGCGCGACGAGGTCGTTCGACCCGACGTCGAGTGTCTCAAGGCAGGTCAGCTGACCGAGCGTCTCCGGGAGCATGGTGAGTGCGTTGTGCGAGACGATGATCGAGTCGAGGTGGGTGGCGAGCGGCACCAGTGACGGCAAGCTGGTGAGCGCGTTGTGACGGCAGTTGAGGTACGACAGCGTCGCCGTCGCCGACGCCGCGGCAACACCGAGCTTGGGCTCGGGCCATTGTGCAATCGAGTTGTGGCTCGCGTCGAGCCACTGCAGCGCCGGCAGCGTCCAGAGCCATGCCGGCAGCGCGTCGAGCGTGTTGTGCGAGACGTCGAGCCGTGAGAGATTCGGCAGCTCCAACGGGTGCGACGAGAGGTTGACCAGCTTGTTACCGGCCAGGTTGAGCTCGGTCAGCTTGGGCAGTGCGTCGAGCGCATGTCCGAGCGTCTCTAGCTTGTTCTTGGAGAGGTCGAGCACAACAAGCGAGCCCCAGCTAGTGTGGATCCCGTCGGGGAGGAGGTGAAGGCTATTGCGCCGGAGAATGAGCTTGACAAGCGCAGTGTAAGAGGCGAGCTGCGGCGGGGCGGTCGTAAGCGAGTTGAAGCCAATGTCGAGCTCGGTGAGCGCCGGTAGGTGAGTAAGGTCTGTCGGCCACTCGTCAAGCTCATTGCCGCCAACCTTGAGCTTGGCCAGGTTGGTGAGCGCGGTGAGGGCGTGCGGCAGCTGGGTGATGGAGTTATGGGTAAGGTCGAGCTCTGCGAGCGCGGTGAGACCTGCAAGCTCTTCTGGAACCGAGGTGAGAAAGTTCTTGGCAAGGATGAGTCGCTTCCAGTGGGTGTTGTCAAAGACTTCGAGAGGAACAGTGTCGAGGTTGTTGTCGGCAAAGTAGCCAAACGGCATGGTCTTCTTCGACGGCGGCTTGGGCAGGGCCTTGGGTGGCGGCGTGGCAGGCGAGGCGGATGAAAGAGGACAGTAAAAGTCGTCACCGCCGAGGAGAGAGATGGCTTCTTCAAAGCTGGCCACCGTTGCCGGGAGGAGGGTAAAGAGAGTGTCCGGCGAAACGTGCGGCGCAGCTGGCACGCCGTCGCCGGTCACCACCGCCGCCAGCTCGGCCACCATTGGCGCGGCAGCAGCGAGGATAGCCGGGTCGCCGCCGCCCTCGACAAGCCTGTTGGCTGCTGCGGCGGCGTCGGTGGCAAGCTTAATGCGAGCGTCAAAGTACGCGCGCTCAGCAGCAAGCTGTGCAGCTTCGTGGGCGGTTTCGTTGCCAAGCGAGTGCTGGCGGAGGCTCGCGAGCCTGACGCGAAGCGCGTCGACAAGTTTGTCTTCCAGCGCACACCATGCTGCGGCATGGCTATCAGCCCGTCCCTCGAGCGTCGTCTTGGCGGCGTCGAGCTTGTACAGCAGCTCGCGCGAGCTGGCAATCCAGGTCTGGAGCTCGTGGGTGGCGCTGGTGAGTTTGTCGGCGAGCAACGAAGCGGTCTCGCCCAGCGGGAGGCAGTGATGTGAGGAATGGGCGCCGTGCATGGCGCAATTGTGGCAGGCGGTCGCCTCGCACGCAGAGCAGTACAGGGTCTGCGGCAGATCGTGGATCTCGCACGCTCTGCTTCGCTGGGCAATTGCCGACGCCAGCGCAAACCTGGTGCCTTCGTCCGACTCGCTGCTAAGCCGCGGGCTCGCAGGCGGCGGCGTCTCGTCGCCATCGGCAGGAGGAGGGGCCGGGGACTCGACATGGGCCTCGTCCTCGGAGCCGCCGTCGGCCGAGTCGGACGCCGACTCGGCTTGCGCAAGCGAGACAAGCTCGATCCTGGTGTGGGAGGCGAGCGGGGAGCCATCCGCATGGTGGCTCGTCCAGCACTCGCCGCAAAACGAGAGCAGGCCAATTTGAGCGCAGACCAGGCACTGGGCCTCTGCAGGTGCATTCCCTGCAGCAGCGCACCTGTCGCAAGCCAGCGGCTCGCCGCTGCGCACCTGACCAAGCTTTGCCGCCAGCTCCTCATCCAGATCATCATTTCCAGGCAAAGCATCAACTCCGCAACCCTTGATCGACGACGGTGTCCCGCAAGCCAAGCACGTCACCGCATCGACCTCGCACCTGTAGCAGCAGACAGAGCCAGTCCCAAGGCGAGCAGCGCGTATTCATCGACATGAGCGAGTGGTATGGATTTGAAGAGAGGGCAAGAAGGGGATCCGAGTGGCCGAACAAAGCGCAGCAGCATCAATCCAGTTCCAGTGAGTCCAGGAGGGGGGAGGGGGAGGGGGAGGAGATAGAGGCAGGGAGATGAGAGGGTGGTAGTGGTGGTAGTGGTGGTAGTGGTATGGGTGGTGGTGGTGGTGGTATGGGTGGTGGTATGGGTGGTATGGGTGGTGGTGGTATGGGTGGTGGTCGGTGATTGGCAGGGAAAAGGGGAGGCGTGCGGCATTCTGGAACGTACGCAAGGTCATGGTGATGGTGGTCGGCATTGTGGTCAAAGCAGAGGTGGGAGTATGTTCGGCGGGTACGTTCAAGTAGGACAAGGGTAGGGATGCATGTGGCGCAGACAGCATGCCAGCATTCAAGCATCCGTGGCTTGTGCAGTACCTCTAGGCACACACTGCAAAGTACTTGATTGGCCATGACGAGTCACGGTCGAGCGCGGCTGGCCAGAGTGGTGCGAGTCAGGTGTGGCCGTGCTGAGGCCGTGCGGAGGCCGTGCTGAGGGCCGGCGGGGAGGGAGGGGAGGGGGAGGGGAGGGGGGGGGGAGCGCTTCAATTGATCAGTGCGAGGTGTTGAACGAGGCTGAGAGGAAGGTGGCATCAAGCTGGTCCTCGAGCTCGACGCGGGCGAGATGGCGGGTCTCGACGTCCTTGAGCTGCTCGAGCTCAGAGTCCCAGGCAGCCTTGATGGTGTCGAGCTGGTCAACATAGTGGGGCGGGAGGTCGAGCGAGGCAAGGGCGTCAAAGAGGAAGACCCAGGCCTCGCGGGCGGCCATGCGGTCGCGGAGCGCCTCCACAAGACGGCGCTCCTCAGACGCGATGCGGTCTTCGATCTCGGCAACCTCGCGCGAGCACTGTGCAACCCAGTCGGCGCGTTGCGCAGCGTTGGAGCGCTGCTTCTTGACAAGCACGCCCTCGCGCTCCTGCTTGAGGATTTCGATGGACGACTCAACGGCAAAGGCGGCAAAGGCAAGTTTGGCGTGTTTGCGCGCGGTGAGCGCGAGCCGGGCGGCCATCATGTTGAACAGCTCCTCGACAACGGTGGCAAGGCGAGCCTGGGCAAGGTCAGCGAGGTCGGCGGAGACGTCGCCGTTGGTCTCGTTGGTGAGGCCGGTGACTGCGAGGTGGGCGCGGGCATCAGTGAGAATGCGGGCGGCCTCCTCCTCCTCGCCCTCGGCAAGCACATCGTTGACGCGGATCTTCTTGGCAATGAGGTCCATCGTGCCCTCGACGACGTTGACCCGCTTGGTCTCCTTCCATAGCGACATGTGTGCGTCGCCAAGGTCGTTGATGAGGCTCGCAATGTGGGCCGAGATCCGGTCGACGGTGGCGGCGGCAGCGACCTGCGACTTGCGGCACGAGTCGAGATAGCGCGAAACGCCCTCGGAGAGCATGGCGCCCGCGCGGTGACCAGCGCGGACCGCGTCGCGCATGGCGACGAGCTGGGCCTCGACCTTGGCAATGAGCGCCCGGACTGAGTCGACGTCGAGCTCAGCGGGGATGACCTTGAACGCCGTCAGCGTCTCGTACGTCTCAGCGTTGACCGCCTGTGCCTCGCCGGTCTTTGCCAGCACGGCCTCGACTTTGGTGTAGAGGTCGGTCTCCTCCTGCTCGCAGGCCAGAGTCCAGTCCTCGACGGCGCGCTTCTCCTCAAAGACGCCGCACTGGGCGTCGACGGCGTGGGCCTCCTCGAGGACCTCGGGCGCCAGATGGGCGGACGGCACGCCCTCGATCTTATCAAGCAGCTGTGAGACGGCGGCGCAAAACGCGGTCTCGCCCGCCACGTCGCGGGAGCCATCGATGGCGGCGGCGGCCTCGTCCACATACGCGCCCAGCTTGTTGACCAGCGGGAGCTTGGACGGCGAGAGCGCGCTGTCGGTGGTGAGGGTGGCGATGCGGGCGCGGACGCCGGCAAAGGTGGTTCGTGGCGTGCCGGCGTCGGGCGCAGACCGGATGGCGTCGATGGCCTCGGCGTTGTCCGGGAGGATCGACGGCGCAGACGGCAGCGCCGAGTCGAGCTGGTCCGAGAGTAGCACGTCATCAAAGGCCTTGGATGGGACCGGGATCTCGCCCAGGCTCTCTAGCGCGGCGTGGATGCTGGCCTTGGCGTGGGCAACCTGCGCTGCGTACTCGTTCTCCTCCCGCGACACTGTGCCCGAGGTGAGGACCGGGGTCAGGTTGAGCTGGTCCATCGTCGGCGGCGGCGCCGACGGCGAGTCGTACTCGGTTGCCGCAGCACGAGTGAGGGCGGCGGCGTCCGAGTTGCCGCTAGTCTGCTCGCGCGGTGAGCTCGGCGTGGCCGGCGAAGTCGGCACGGTCGAAATCGTCGACGACGGCGACGTCATCATCATGCCCCGCGGATATCCGTAGCCCTGCGGGGAGTACATCTGTACGCGCCGAGATGTGGATCATGACATGGTCGTAGGGGGGATGGGGGAATGAGTGTGGCGTGAGATAGTTGCGTTTGCCATTGCCACCGTCATGCATCGTTCCATTGATCATAGCGCCCGTCGTCGTTCCGTTGATCGTTGTGCCATCGTCAACCAGTGAATCATTGCCAATGTTCAATTAATCGTTCGTTCGGTTGGACAGACCATTCGTCGGGTTAGTCAGCGGCAGGAGGTATGGCTATGGAGACAGAGCAGGTGTGAGGGAAGCAAGGCGAGAGGAGGTGAGGTGAGGAAAAACAGCAACATACCATAGGAGAGCCAAAGTACGACATAGTATCCTGGTCGTGGTGCAGTGGGGTGGTTCCGTCCTCCGCTACTCTGTCTCCAAGGGGGAGGGGGGGGGAGGGG